ATTCCAGGTTTCTATGCTGTTTTGTGAATTTTGTATCTCCATTTTGGTAGATCCAAATGGCATGATTCAAATTTTGGTATAATCACAGTGAAGTCTAGTATTTAACAAAAATATGATATGGGCACTTGTAGTGGAAATTTTGGATGAATTAAATAGGAACTTGAAATGTGTTTTTAAATGCATGCAAACTTGTTTAAATCATATCTTGAGTTTCTGTGGTCCAAAAATTATAAAATTTTGTGGGTAAGCTAGTCTTGCTTAGTAGAAGCTCTGGTAAAAATTTGAGAGTCATTGCATATGTGGTTTTTGAGTTATAGATTTTCCTTTTGTCATTGATTGATACTTGTCTAAATCTTTGTAAATTATTTAGGAATCCTATGACCATGAAATTTTGTAGGGAGTATCCCAGTACCTTAAGAATGTTAGAAAAATATGAAATATGTTGCTTGGCACTTTTAACTAAGGTTTTCTATTTATGCCTTTTTAAGCACTTATGCCTTGTCATTTTTGTGTAGGCTATTTTACTTATCCAAATGCCATGAAAATTTTATGGTAGTCTACTTAGAGTAGTACTATGCTACTGTATTGTTCTTAGATTTTTATGAGCACCAGAAATATATGTTGCCGTGTAGCCCTAGTTTAAAATGAAATCAAATGATCTTCTTGAATGCGAGTTTAGTTAATAATGTTCGCTTTGGTGTATCTTTGAAACATCTTAGTTTGTTGTGGTGATTTGGTAGGCTAGTACAGTGGTTGTCGTAGTAGATAGTAGTACATGTTCTTGGATGATGTCGACTACCTTGTAGAAGAGCGTTGCTACTACTAGGTCCAATAAAGTTAAACATGTTCATCTACATTTCATGCATCATGATCATTACATGTCATCTCTCCGATGCACCTATGCATTAGCACTTATACATCTGCATCATACAGGATCGCAGGAGGAGTTGCTAGTAGCAGTTCAGGAAGAGCAGACCGGGACAGATCCATAAGAAGTCCAGGCACAGGAGGTGCCAGAGGAAGAGGAGCAAGGAGAGGACTTGCCCGAGTGCGTGGATCATCATCCTAGTTCATTCGAATGAGGCAAGCCCCGGAGCATTCTAAGTCTCCTAAGTTACAAAAGCAATTCTTTCTATATATATGAGTTATATATTGTTGCATTAAGTTGTAGGAATTCATTGAAACCGTTGATGCATTTATTACTATCCTTGCCTACCTTATTACCTTTCACCCTGTTAGGTCAGGATCGAATAACTGCTTAGCCTTGCTTAGACCGGTAGCGATCGGTGATATCTGGTCACCTACATTGTAGGTGGTTACTGGAAGAATTTAGCTATGAAAAGAATGATATCCTGGAATTAACCATACTTGACGGAGAATTGGAGACCGGACAGAAAAGTTGGAGGCAACCAGACAGGGTTCTGGGGTGCTGTTAGTTTTCGTCTGTGTCGATTAAGGACCGATCGTTGCTCGTCCCTCTTGTCATGTTGAACGCATGCCTCACATTTAGCTGGCCGAATAAAGTACCTTTCGACCACGAAGCTAGTGGCACTATTCGGGCCGGGATCTACACGAGTGCGCGTATTGATGCTGATGGGGGTATGACAGGGGCACGAAGAGTGAGACCAAGGGCAGGTGCGACCTGATTCCTAGCAGTCGGGCGGTCCCTGGGTACTGCGGCTCCAGATTGTCCCGCGGCTACCTGAATAGTGTCCTTGGTGATCTAAGCTACCCTGGTAGGGGAAGCATGGTTTGTGTGAGGAATAAATCACCAGCTGGTTAGGAATCGATTTGAATCGCCATCGCTCCTGGATAGTGAGCACTTGACTCGAGCTACGGTATCATAGTAATTATGATGGAACACTAATGGTCATCTGGATGATATGAGATAGGCTAAAGCTAAATTGGTAATTGGATGTTATTGGTTAATCAATTGATTGCTATAGTACAGGTGCTTACCTAGATGAATAGGTTATAATAAAGATGATGCAAAGTATTTAAAATGGTTTCTTCATGATAGCTTATGCTTTTCGCAAACGAGTCAGCTAGCCCACTAAAGAAAGCCTTGCATAATCCTTGGTGTCGCTTTATTTTGGTTTAAGGCGGATAAGTCTAGCTGAGTACCTTCTCGTACTCAGGGCGTTGTTCCCATTATTGTTGCAGATGGTCAAATGTACTACGGCTATTGCATTAACTGCATGTATCCGGCGATGGGTGACAACTAGGACCAAGGGCAATGGTCACTCCGTATCTCTCATCTGATGCTTTTGTTGGAGATGACTACCTACTGGCATTGTATCTGAACTAGAAGTGTGTGTGTGGCTTTAAAACTATTTGCTTCCGCTATTTCAGTTTGAACTTGGATTGTAATAACTTTATATTCTAAACTCTGATGTACCGAACTGTGATTGCGAACTTTATGTAACGTGTGATGGTACTTGTTAAACTTGTACGATCTTGATTTGTATGTCGATTGGTTTGAAATCCTTCATGGTTTCACGGACTACCGGGTTATACGTGCTTAAGTTTGCTAAATTATCTGCTTCTGCGGAAGATTTTCTTACTCAATCTCGTATAATTGGTCGGTTCTGTTACACCTTCAGCATACCCACTGCAAATAGCGTTGAAGTCCAGGTTTGGGTGGTGCGTGGCCACCGAGGTCAGCACCCCCGACGCTCCATAAAACAGCCCGCTCCATGTCTTGATCTTCAAAGAGTTGCTTCAAATCACCCACGTAAAACTCACTGTCTAATCGAGATCAAGCAGCACCAAACAGACATCCATACATATATGCATAGCAAACATAGGCTATGGATTAGAATAGTACATCAATCAGCATAAAATCAAGATGAAAAGTTTGTAAAATGAATTTATGTCTTGCTATAGTCACACAGACGCAAAGATCACAAAAATCAGAGCTAAAACGAAGAAGTTATGAATTAAACAAGATTTCCTTTAGTAAAGTAATAGATTAAATCTAACCTCGAATTTCAAAAGTTGAAAATATATTGATCAGTAGGATGAACATGTAGATTATGGAATTACGAACCTAACGCAAGTTGAACGGGTCAAATCGGAGTTAAAACGAAGAAATTATGCATAAAATAAGATCAATGGCAATTCTGTAAATATTTTGAAATCAATTTCATATTAAAAATAATTCAAAACTGAATTAAAACAATCCTGCGGACCGGGCGTTATTTTTGAAAAAATGTAGGGGCTAAAATTGAAAATCTAGGGGCATATGTTGAATTATTTTCAACAGAGGGTGGACTGCGGGTTGATTATCCAAAAACAGAGGGTCTCTTTAGCAAATAAGGTAGCCAAATCGGTATCTTCTAATCTAGGCCGTTGATCTCAGATCGGACGGTGCAGATCAAATCAAGGCACGGGGTCGCCAGAGCAGCGCTGTGCGAGCACCATGGTCGGGGAGCAGAGGAGCTCGCCAGAGTTCGTCGTTCTCGACGTTCCGGACATCATAGGTCAAAAAGAAAGCACGGGGAGAAAGAGGAAGACACGGCGAACTCACCAAGGGCTCTTTCGAGGTCGAAGACAGGACCACGACGTCTAGCAGCGCGGCGGAGCGGACGGCAAGCTCCGGTGACAGTGCGCGGACGAAATTAGAGCATGAGGGGGCAAAAGACGGTCCCTGGAGGCTTCCTTACCGGGATGCGAAGACCAGAGAGCAGCTTAGATCGACGTCGAAGCTTGGCCGTGGCAGAATCGCATGCAGTGGCGGTGTTCTAAGGTTGCGGTGGCGCTTGAGAGCTCGAGGTAGGGCTAGGCGAGGGCGGAGCAGCTAGGGGCGCTATTTATGGGGCTCGGAAGCTTGAGGCGCAACCCAAGGCGAGGAGACGAGGCGGAGACGGAGTCGGCTGCGGCAGAGTCTACGTTGGGGACACAAGGTAGGAGACGCGACTGACAACTGGGTCCCACACGTTAGCGAGGCAAGAAGGTGGGGCCATGGTGTTAGCGAGGGAGAGGAGGCGGGGACACAGGCTTCTGCGCGGCTTAGCTGCTAGGCCGCGGCGCTGCAGGCCCACGCAGGAGAGGGAAATGACGACGCGGCGCTGGGCTGCCAGCTGGGCTTCGCGGAAAAAAAAGAGAAACGGGCCACGGGGTGAGGGAGCAGGCCGGCTGGGCCAAAGAAAGAGTGGAGAGGAATTCTATTTTCTTTTTATCTCAAGTGTTTTTCAAATGCATTTTCAAATCCATTTGAAACAATTTGAAGTTTAGTTTCAAACCACACAATACAAAAGAAATACTATGCAACAGCATGTATGCACAACCATATTGCTACCTTATGATGAATTTTAATTTAATGAAAAATATTATTTTCCCATGTTTCATGAGTACCAAAAATTCATAATTAAAACATTTTAATTCTTTTTTGAAACTGCAAATTTTAGGGTATTACACTTAGACTTAAGAAATAAATATGCAAACTTATATTTAGTTACAATAGGAGTATATGAAAAATACTATGTACTTGTGATCGATACATGGTGATAATTTCCCTAAGCTGTATGTAGTAAAGAATTTTTATTATTGTTAAAATTTTTGTTCTTTGTGTTGTAAGCTTCAAAGTGATTCCATTATTAGAAAAAAAAAACTTTAGTCTTCTTCATGGGCCTATTGCAGCATGCAAACCTTCTATTTCTATAGCTCCAATCTTTTTTTTTGGATCTTTTTTTTCTCAAACACACAGGAGAGTTATGTATCATTTTATTAAGAAGAAAAAGGGGTAAGAGCCCTTACACAACACACACGCGCACACATGCGCACACCCATGCACGCGCATGCACGCGCACGCACACACCACCTCCGTTCATGTAATTGTTTGTGGGTCATACTGTTTCAATTATTGATAAATTTTCTTTGTAACCTGGCACCTCTGCTCTCTCTTCTTTATTTTAAGGCATGAATACATCTTAGTAATGATTGTTTAACAGGTTGTTATAACATTTAGAGAGAAAGGCATTCCTTGTGACGTTATCTGGATGGATATTGACTATATGGATGGTTTTAGGTGCTTCACGTTTGATAGCGTAAGTACTTGTTCTATCAAAGATTCTTTGTTTGAACATCTACGCTTCGTTTATCCTCTACTCCCTTCGTCCCACAAAGAGTGTCATTTCTCGTTTTTCGAGAAGTCAAACACTTTCTATTTTGACCAAATATATATAATTATTAATATTTATGGTGCATAATTAGTATCATTAGATGAATCGCTTAATATATTTTATAATAAACTTATTTAGAGATATAAATGTCGCTAATATTTTCTTTAATAGTCAAACTAAAGAAAGTTGGACCAACACAAACCACATAGCGACACTTTTTTTTTTGAACGGAGGGAGTACATGTTTACAAAATTATATTTCTTCAAAATTTTGAATAGTTCATGTAATTGTTTTGCTCCTATCATTATGTACAAAAGTGTAGTTGGATTGTCATTGGTCCCGTTAGGTCCTGTTTGAGCATTTTGCTAATGCTATCTGATATATATATTGCAGAACCGCTACTACAGTCAAAAATCAATGGTTGATGATCTCCATTCCATGGGATGCAAAGCAATCTGGATGCTTGACCCAGGAATCAAGAATGAGGAGGGTTACTTTGTGTGCGAAAGTGGTTCAGAAATGGATGTTTGGGTTCAAAAGGCAGATGGCAGCCTATTTATTGGTATGTTTGCAAACCTTAAATGTTTTCCCTTCATTTTTTTTTTCTTAAACTTAGTAGGATATCTTCATGTACTCTTTATGCATGTTCTAAACTCAGGGAAAGTATGGCCTGGTGATTGTGTTTTCCCTGATTTTACCTCGAAAAGAGCACATGCCTGGTGGGCTAGTTTGGTAAGGGACTTCATCTCCAATGGTGTTGACGGAATATGGAATGGCATGAACGAGCCTGCTGTTGCCGATGTAAATGATTTTAATTATCTGTACGTTTTATCTTATGTCTTGTTTGGTTTGTTTCCTTAGCAACTGAAAGTGATCGTATGAATTTAATTTGCAGACTACTACCAAGACAATGCCTGAAAGCAATATCCATAGTGGAGATGCTGATATCGGTGGCACCCAGAACCATCCATACTATCACAATGTATATGTTGTTCCCCTGCCGAGGATTAGCTGCCATTGTCAATAATAAAATATTTTCACATAATTTTCTATTTCATATAAATTTAATGCTTTCGTGATTTTTAATCTTTAGGTCTATGGAATGCTAATGGCAAGATCTACTTATGAAGGAATGGTGTTGGCTAATGCTTCTAAACGACCGTTTGTTCTTACACGAGCTGGTCTTATAGGAAGCCAGCGGTATGCCGCAACATGGACGGGTGATAACATGTCAACTTGGGAGCATTTACACATGAGTCTGTCAATGATTCTTCAATTGGTAAGTGAAATATTTGTTCCATGTATCCAAAAGTTCCACCTTAAAACATTCTGAGGGCCTAAGCATTTTTGTTTTTGACAACAAGCTTTAACTCACTTCAATAATGCATACCCTGATAAAGTACCTCGACTAAGGGGAGAGACATCCACCCTAGCATTTTACTAATAGGTAGAAGGTGAGAATCAAACCCTGGTTGGCTGTGTGACATCCTCCACCCCCACTAGCCAATTCATCTTAGGGAGATTCTCCATACCCTAATGAAAGGACCTAAACGATGCCTAGAGGGGGGTGAATAGGCGCTTTACAAATTTAAACCTACAAAAACGAAGATCAAACAGCACTGAACAGATCTGTCGGCTTAATTAGCCGACTTGCCTAGTCGGCTTAGCCGATAGGCTCTCTGTTGCATAGTATATGGGTCGGCTTAGCCGATCCCACTACTTGGCTTAGCCGACTCCTTCGTCCAGGTCAGGTGCAGGGTCCCCAAATGCTTGTTTTGATCTTCTCTCTTTCCCTCATCGATCCAAGGTGATATGGGATGTATATAGTGCAAATGTATCTTGCTCAAGATGCTCCTACACCCACAAACACATATACCCGAGTAGACACAATTGGAGGCTCACAAACATGAAAGTAATGCAATGAAAAGTAAATGTGAGCCAAACCGAACAGAGAAGACGCAGCGATGTGTTTGACCGAAGTTCAGGCCTCACCAAAGTGAGTCGTACGTCTCCGTTGTGGAAGCTGAGGAGGACCCAACAAAGGTCAACTCGTGGCTAGGCCCAAAGCGACCTCTTTCCACCTTTTCCACTAAGGGGTCTTGTTTCCTTTTTCAGCAGGAAGACTAGCCCTTACAAACTTTCGGCCGTGCACCACACCACGGTGACTCACCGATGACCGCTAAGGCCATCTAGGAGGAAAGCTCCAAGAGTAACAAATGCTTCACATGAACTTAATGTCACCACAAAGTGCTCAAGGGTGGTTCAACTCAGATTTTGCTCACACACAATCTCACAAAGGCTTAAATTTGCTCTCCAATTCAAAGGATATGGCTAGATGGACACCAATCCCACAAAGGGTGAATTGGAAGCTCTCTCTAGGCTTTGCTGGTATATATGAGCGTGGAAAAGATTTAGGAACCGAGCCAAGGCTGTGGGAGGAGGTATAAATAGAATAGGTTCAAAAAGTAGCCGTTGGGCTCCTAGGCTAGCCAGAGTCATAATCGACTTGACCAATCGGCTTAAGCGACTGGGTGGTAGGTGACCGTTGGAGATGCTGACCAAGTCGACTTAGCCGAGTTGGTCAGTCGGCTCAGCCGGCTGGGCCAGCCAGCACAACTCCAAAAACTTCTCTCAAGTGCTTTCTTATGGATTTCTCACTTGGGGTTGGTTTTGAGCACTTTTAGGTCACACTTGTACAATGTGTTGCGTCCCTCTTGATAGTACAACAAGCTTAAACTCAATAAATATAAATTCACAATTAATTCCACTTGAGCTTGTCATTCTTCAAATAATGCCGATTTCTCAGCTCGGTCATTTGAGGGTTTCCAACACCATCCATGTATTGAGTTGAGTTTCCTCGAGCTGTGACTTTGTGTTGATCATACCATTTGATTAGAAATCCGCATATCAACCAAAGTCACTCTTTCCAATTATTTGATCCTTCATATCAACATGATCTTTAAAGCTTGATTAGTACTTCAACTGAATGCAAGTACTTTCTTCTTCACCTTAGCTAGGTTCTTCGGTCGCCAAGCCGTCGCTTGCCCTTCACCTTTGCTTAGTACCTCGAAACCTTTCCTTGATATCTTCACCATCTTAAGCCATCAAGTCACATCTTGTTTTGAATCAACCATTACGCTCATAATATATTCTTTTGTATTAATCTATTCATCATATAGATCGATCAAGCTCCAAGAGTGAGACCATTCCATACATAAGCCTCTATGTCTCATATATAATAGATACATGGCAAGCTTGTCAAATCATTTTGATAATATGCCTCGGACTCATTTCTCATTTGTGTGTCATGTGCTTATATTTGAGCCTAAATTCAATACAACACACTTGGGACTAAATACCTGTGAAAGCCTGCAAGTCTCATGAAACATATTAGTCCCCTAATCGTGTTGTCATTCAATCCACCAAAACCCACTTAGAGGCTAGATTCACTTACACCTGATAAAGTAAAACATATACTTATCACAAGTATCCTAAAATTATGTGTATAATGTTGTGACACAAAAGTGACACGTAGTTTGTTATAGTACTGAGAACCATTATATTCCCTTCTGTACTGTTCACAAAATTTGGTTCCTCCATTAATTTTCTCCAGTACAATTATATTGTTCTCAATTTTCATTCTTTGAAGTTTTATGCATACCCTTCATTGTATATTTTACATATAAAGTTGAATCATATTGCAGTGATAAAATCATTGTTATTAATGGGTGTGATATGAGAACTGATCAAGCTTGTAAGAACCTAACAACATGGTTATCCATTCAGTGTCTCAGTGGTCAGCCGTTCTCAGGTCCTGATATTGGTGGTTTCGCTGGAAATGCCACTCCAAAACTTTTTGGAAGATGGATGGGTATGGGTGCATTGTTTCCATTTTCATGTGGCCATACGATAACCGGAAGTAATGACCATGAGCCATTGTCCTTCGGCGAAGAGGTATAGCTTTATGCTCCCTATGGTGCCACTCACACAACAACACAAGCATGCACATAAACACTAACACAAACAACTATTTTATCACACTCAAACTATTCCATCAATCATTTAGTTGTAACCCCTATATGTTTTTCACACTTAGCCCTCAAACTAGAATCAAGACTCTTAGAACCCTACCCTTGTTTTTAACGGGCAGATTCGCCAAGACTACTTAGTCAAAGCCATCTCAATAAATAATGCAAATCACAATTAACCATGCCAATAAATGCAGGTCATGACTACATCTTCGCAGGTAAAACACCTAGGCGAATTAAGTGTGAAGCATTACTTCGTATTGACTAGGGAATTAAGTGTGAAGCATTACTTTGTATTAACACTTTTTTGTGTGTTTGAGGGGTAGGGTGGGTTGGGGGGCAATAAATGGTGTTGGTGGACAAACAAAATAATTCAAGTGACTAAATGGACTTCTCATGAAACAAAAATGAAGAGAATAATGTTCTGTGCAATTCAATGTCTTCCACTAGAAAGTGGGAATATATTAATACATTTTCAATATAACTTAATATAGCATATATACCCTTTTTGTCTTCATTAACCAAGCTATTATTGTATTTCCATTCCTCTTCATTATATCCTAAAGTAGTATATATGTTCTCAACATGATAGAAAATATTTTTTCGTATTTTTATTCCTAACAAATGATATTTTTTATGGCAGTAGGGGTCAAGTAAATCATCTCTATAAAAAGAGATAACTGTGTATATTAGTTACATCAGGCAAGAACTCTAAAAGTAGTGAGTGCCTCTAGAGGAGAGTGGCTAACTCGCTACCAATCAAATTCATATCATTTAGTATCAAAGCCAAATCATGATGGAACATGTTCAGTCGCTAAACCGTTCCTTGCTGCTTGTAGCTATTTTAAACGCTAGTGTTGTTGATACACAGCCTACACCAAAACTTGAGGACTTGAAGGGGTGGAATAATGTTATACAAAGAAGGCTATCTAGTATTCATCTTTTTCTTTTATCAAGATAGCATTGGCTAATTGAAAAACTTTGTATGTATTGCAGTGTGAGGAAGTTTGTCGCCTTGCGCTACTAAGACGGTACCGGCTACTACCACATATCTACACTCTCTTTTACCATTCACATACAAAGGGTATTCCAGTTGCTACTCCAGTTATCTTTGCTGGTAATTATTTCTGTCACTTTATATCGTCCAATTTTAAGTTGGTTTCAATGCTTGTAGTTTGTAGGAAGAATGAAGGTGTGTGGCAAGCTGTTGCCTCCTTTCTTTTGCTATCTGACCTTTATAAAATATATTTACATCCTTCTTAGCTGGAGACTGCGTTTGATGGGTTAAATAACATATGTTCTTCCCAGATGCAGTTTACTACAAATATTATGCCGCATTCCTTTTTTTGTAGACCCACAAGGCATTGATAAGGAAAGTTGAGACTTCCTTTCTTCTCGGGCCACTCTTAGTCTGTGCAAGGTAAAATCTTCACATCAATGACTCGACAAAGTTTTTTCTTAACCTTGCTTCTTGAGATCCATGATCTTCTTTGTATTGGTGTTCATTTTATATAATGTAGCTATATATGTGCCAGTTCTTCAGTGGATGTTTTTTGTGTTAGAAATGATTTTGCACCATCAATTGGAAATTGCTCAATTATCATTCATCAAATATATAGATGAAAAGATGCCAAAATTCCAGTGTTATTCTTTTGAATCTTTCTCTATGCTTTGGTATCTTTAATCTTTCTGGTCTTTAATTTGCAGCATTGTACCTAATAAAGGAGCTCATGAATGTGCACATAAACTACCAAAGGGCATATGGCTGCCTTTTGATTCTGTGGATTCACACCCTGTAAGTTGGTTTTTAAACTCCTGGTCCATGGACATCAATTCTATTCCAATACTTATTTACGAATGGGCAATTGTGTAGGATTTGCCAGTGCTGTATTTTACAAGGTGGAGCGATTCTCCCTGTAGGTCTTCCTATTCAGCATGTTGGGGAGACAAGCTTGGAGGATGATCTATCACTAATTATTGCATTGGATGAAAATGGTATGCAACTTCTCATTCTCTGAATTATCAATGTTGGTGATTTCCTTTAAGGCAACATTTGGATAAAGGGAAATGAGGGGTGCGATGAGGATATGTGGGTTGGAAAATATTTGAGACCATGTTTGCTTTTATGGAAAGGGAAAATAGAAGGGTTTGAGAATGGGTTGCAAAGGGGTCTTATCCCACTCAACAAAACCAAGTAAGGCAGATGGGCCAATTGTGAAATGGGGACCGGATATGATTTGCCCTGCCCCACCCCCCATCGGAGTGGCCCTTTGCCCCCGTCTAGCCATCAACCACATCTTCTTGAGCCCTCTTTGTTCAGTCATTTGTGAGTAGCTCACAGATGCTCGCGAGGCGGCGCTTGGGCCATCGCTGTCTTCTGAATCCACCCAAGGAAGCCATAGTGACCTGGTCAGCTAATCTTTATTCGGCTGGATCTTTGGTTGTTGTTGTTGCTTCCTCATTTGTTTCTTTTCTACACATTGTTGTGCTATCTTGCTTGACTAGAGAGCACGGATGGAGATAGAGAGATTCCTAGCATGCAAAAAGATTTATGGTTATATCGGTTTATCTAGCAAAATACACATTATTTTAGCTTTGTTCCAATGAGGGGGTATTTTGGTCATAAAAAGTTGTATCTCTATCCTAAACCAATGCATACCAAACATTGGAAAAAGGATAAGTCCTCATATCCTAAACCCAATCCCGCAGCATGCCCCACCACATTTCCCTATATCAAACCCAGGTTATATTCAAACGCCAAGTGTCAATATTATTAGAGTATATGGCATGGATCCCAAAGTATCCGGTTGTTATGGCAAGATAGGATTAGCTTCCATCTCTACTATATCCAAGATTACTTGAGATCCAAGCCACCATGTACTCTATATAAACAACCTACATGACTCAATAAAGATCATTTCATATTCTTACATGGTATAGAGATGGTGTTGTGTTCTTGAGCCACAACATCTACGCTTTCGTATTGCAACACAAAGGAGGAGGGGTTGATCTCCAAAATCTTCACTGGGAGTTGCACACCCGTAGTTTAGTATTGTATCACTGATTCATAGGTCGGCCACTGTCGGGATTGTAACCCCGGGGTGTCTCAAGGCACCGATTAGTTAGAAAGCCAAGCAACCCACAAGACATTAGCTGGCGAAGGCCCGAACGACCGAGGCCTAGCTAGGCCAAGCGAACCAAGCAAACATGCCCACTCTGATGGGCGCACAATGCTCGATGGGTGCACGACCTCTCCACTGTCCCGAACCCTAGGAGGGATGGGGAGAGGTCGAGCCCAGCCAAACATGCCCGCTCTGACAAGAGCAAGCATGCCACACTAACCCCGCAAGGACTGAGGGGACAGCAGTCACCTCGGCCCAGTCAGACACCATCCATACGCCATGTCGCACCGACGAGATAACACCGCATGGCGGTGGTAATGGGTATGATACCGACCGTCCAAATACGGACCGAGTAGATACTTGTACGATCCCACCCACTATGGGATGGGATCCACGGCAAGGGACTCGACGAAAAGGCCATCTAGACCAGTAGAGTGCCCTGACCCCGATGATTGGGTCATGGCTCTCTGTCTCGTAAAGCCACCAGGAGAACAATGACCCAGGACGGTTACCTACTTTGGGTACAACGCCCCTAGGAACCAGGAGATGATGACGAAGGCCACAACAGACACCGCATTGCATAGGACAACTGATGAATCGCCATCGAGGCTACAGTGCCACCACGGCTAGCACAGTAGCGCCATGTCACATCCTGCCGCAACGAGGCTAGAAGACGATGACGATAGCCACGACCGAACGTGCACTAGGAGACGGCGTAGTTTGCAAGCCAAGTTAGTTAGTCCTCCCTCAGGCTCTCGACCCTTCCGTCGAGAGAACCTCCTCTTTGTATAAGCCCTAGCCTAGACTCTATATAAGGGCAGCTAGGGCACCCATCTTGGGGATGATTCACATCCTCTACCATTACATTCCTTCACCATTGTAGTAGGGGCTCCTGGAGCTTCTCTTCGGGCAGCCCTCCGTCTAGCATAGGTCCTTCCATCTCTTCCACCTTTCTTATACCCCCTATTGTAAGAACTTCAGAGTATTCAAGCGAGGAACACGCACTCGATTATCTCTGAGACTGGACGTAGGGCTCTGGCCTGAACCAGTATAAATCCTCATGTCTATTGGATGCTACCATTGTCTTCCTAGAGCAGCGCGGCATTCGTATAAATTTTCTAGTCTGGTTTACAAAAACCGACAATTGGCGCCTAGGTAGGGGACAGTCGTGCACTCTCGTCTGTTGAGAAGGAAGCGATGGATCCTCGCACTGTCGGTGAACTCGCTAGTGGAATGGCCCATGGCGGCCACATCCACCGCAAAAACAACGAGTTCACCAGCATCAAAGGGCCAGCACCCATGACCGCCCGCGTCTATGACCCAAACCTCTGCTAGTGAGATCCGGGACATGTAGCCCGCAGCGAACACGCTCTTGGAACTACCTTCGATGGCAGCATCCTGGAGTTCACCTACCCAGAGGGGCCAGTACCCTCGCTCACCGCCGACCGTGGCCAGGCCTCTCATTCAGGAAGTCGAAGGTCCATGGCTCGCAACGAACTCGCCTAGGGAATGGCCTCAACCGGCCACATCCTTTTGGGAAACCACGTGGTTAACCGCACTGAAGGGCCGACGCCCACATCCGCCCTCAGTTACGTCATGGACCTCCATCCCATAGGTCTAGATCCCGCGGTCCATGGTGGACACACTCTCGGAACTATCCTTGGGGGCTGCATCCTGGAGTGCACCCATGTAAGGGGCCCAGTGCCCTCTCTCATTGCTAGCCATGGCCGAGACCTCCACCTGAGAAACCAGACGACCATGGCTCATGATGATCTCACCCAAGGAGTGGCCCGTTGTGGCCACATCCTTTTCAGGAACCACGAGATCACCCGAATCAACGGGGCAATGCCTGTCATCCGCTCATACCTGGTCCACATCCGCCGCATGGCAGAACTGGACCATACGAAAGAATCACGCCCCGATGAAAGCTCTAGTTTGGTTTTACTGAATTGATGAAACCTATAGTGCTAACCTAGTTTATCAAAGTGATTATGAGATAGGTAGCACTACTCCAAGTGATGAAGCAAATGAAGATCATGACATGGCAATGGTGATGCCATGGTGATGATCAAGTGCTTGGACTTGAAAAGAAGTAAGAGAAAAACAAAAGCTCAAGGCAAAGGTGAAATTGATAGGAGCTTTTCGGTTTAGTGATCGAGACACTTAGTGAGTGTGATCACTTTTAGGATCGATAGCCGTACTATTAAGAGGGGTGAAACTCATATCAAAATGCGGTTATCAAAGTGCCACTAGATGCTCTAACTCATTGCATATGTATTTAGGATCTAGTGGAGTGCTAACACCCTTGAAAATATGCTAACACATGTGCACAAGGTGATACACTTGGTGGTTGGCACATTTGAGCAAGGGTTCAAAACTTCACCAATGGAGTGTCCGCCCATAGAGTGCGGACAGTCCACCGGTGCCACTAGTGCCCTGTATAGAAAAGACAGGGTTTCACAGTGTGCACCGAACGCTGTCACGAAGTGACCGGATGCTGGGGTCTGCGTCCGGTCAGTGGAAGTAGTGAAGACGTTGGCATCAGTCTTCGACCAGATGCTGGGTCACTTTGTGATCAGACGCATGATGGGTGTGTCCAGTCCCGCTGACGTGGCATCACAGAGAAGACCGTGAGTGACCAGACACTGGGCGAGTCCAATCATAAATTTCCTCCTTTGGAAGCTTACTGGAAGTGACCGGATGCTGGGGTCCTGCGCCCGGTCGGGCTTGACCGGACGTGTCCAGTCACGAGTGGAACCTTACAGGAAGTGACCAGACGCTGGGGCCCTATGTCTGGTCCTACACTATAGAGCGTCCGGTCACAACTTAAGTGCACTGAGGACCATTGAGATCGGACGATCGGCATTTGAAGTAGGGGCCACGTGGCGTGCATCGCGCGACCGGACACTGGGGTCCTACGTTCGGTCAATCTGACCAGAGCGTCCGGTCACCCCGAGAGTGCCCAGTGAAGGGGTACAACGGCTCTATTTTGTGGGGGCTTCTATTTAAGCCCCATTGCTGGCTCAAGCTCACTCTCTTGGCCATTTGCATTGACATAGCAACCTTGTGAGCTTAGCCAAAGCCCTCCCACTCATCTCCATCATTTATTCATCATCTTTGTGAGATTGGGAGTGAATCCAAGTGCATTGCTTGAGTGTTTGCATCTAGAGGCACTTGGTGTTCATGTTTCGCTGTGGGATTCGCCTGTTACTCTTGGTGGTTGCCGCCACCTAGACGGCTTGGAGCGGCGAGGATCATCGAGCGGAGGTTGGTGATTGTCTCTGGCTCCGATCGTGGTGATTGTGATGGGTTCTTGACCTTCCCCCGGTGGAGAGCCAAAAGGTACTCTAGTAAATTGCTCGTGGCTTGTGTGATCCTCATCTTATGTTGGTTGTGCGGCACCCTATTGACGGTTTGGCATGTGATGCCAATTAGCGTGTGAATCTCCAAGTGAGTGAATCACCACAACGAGGACTAGCTTGCCGGCAAGCAAGTGAACCTCGGTAAAAAATCATTATGTCATCATTTGATTCCGAAGTGATTGGTCTTCATTGGTATTCATTCTTGTGATTGATTGGTTCATTCCTCGACTCAGCGGTATAACCATCTTGCTCTCTCTTTACATTATCGCAAACTAGTTGTCAAGCTCTTTAGTGTAGCTAGTCGTGAGAGCTTGTTAGTTTGGTTAGTGTGGCTCTTTAGTTAGCCTTTGAGAGCACACTAACTTAGTGTAGTGACATAACCATTGTGTGGATAGAGACTATATAAACTAGAATTATGGTAGGTGGCCTGCATTTTTAGTAGACTAGCGCAACACTCGCTTCGCCTCATATTTGTCTAACCGGTTTGCTAAGTGTTGTTATAGAAATTTTT